GTACAAGCTGGTATGGAATCTGGTAATATTTATCTTGTCGAGTACGCCGTGTCATATATTGAATAAAGAACGCTCACATTTATAGCTTTGATCAATATTTGGATTCAAAAATGTAAGGACAGACTTTGCAGAGAAACGCCCAAATGTTGACAGGTGTTTGTAAAATTATACATTTAATCTGATAAAACTATTCAAGACTAAAAAAAATCAAGGATGGCGCTGGGAAATGGTAATATGAGTTTGGCGTATTGCTTTATCCAAGACGTATACCGTACTCAAATGGATGCTATATTCATAAATACATACTTTATGGGTATATAATTCGGGATCTCGCTTTATATTTTCTTAATTAATCCAGTCAACGTCAATTTGGTAACCAATTCATTCCAAACGTAAATCACTTAAAAGACGACCTGCGAGTGATAAGGTCGCTGGGGTTGTGACATTCATCATGGCGTTGTACAAAAACCATGATCGGTGTTACATGTCGACGAACTTTCGCATCAGACTTACATTTAAAATGCGTTTAAAATTGGACCAGGGGTCGAGTGTGGCACGATTTATGATGTACATATCTAATAATTGTGTACATTCGACACCAGTGATTAAATAACGGATAAATTTGAACGGCTATTCAAGCCATCGTTATCACGGCGTTTTTCATTACATATATGTTCGATTTAACGTCATATTGACTGGAAATATCAAGCAAGTTTTGTTCATAGCAACCACCGTATTGATTTCGTGTTTTGCTGGCTCAAAGTATTAATCACGCGCAGTGCTAATATATTTAACTATGTTACTCAATCGAAATATATTCGTCATCATTTCCTGTAATTTGCCACACCAATTATTCATTGCTCTTCAACGCCCACTGATGGATATTGTCATATGAGGACCTCAAAGCCAATTCGGTATTTTTGTCAGTTCGTTAGGTTTTGCTGATTTCGATAAACGGCCGTAGACTTCATAACTCAAGTCAGTTAGCAATAGGGGTGTATATATTACCCTAATCCCCATTTGTCAGCAACTTCTGTAATGAAGTGAGCAAGGGGCTCATTCCATGGTAAGGGCGTGGTTGCTACTGTTGAATTCAGACAGATAGCCAATCAAACATCAACATCATCGAAGTAATCATAAATCATCGGAAAGATCTAGCTCAAGGTGGTCCAAACCTAGGCCCGCAGGCCACATGTGTCCCGCGTCGTCATTGCGGGAGGGTAAACAAAAAATCGAACAAAATAAAATTTAGTGTTGTCATAAAAATAACCAGAAAAATCTTAAGTAAGCTTCACTCTTGTGGCCCGCGAACACATCAAAAATAATAGTGTGGCCCGTGAGGTCATCAACCTTGGACCACCCTGATCTAGATAGTCTACTCTAGAATCTAGTCAGAAGTGGGAAAGGTTTTTGAACCACGGGCCAAATTCTGCCCACATAGACTGGCGGGCCATGTAAGTGTGACGTAAATAGTTTCATTTTATGAACGATATTTACAGTGTTACAAAAGCAAAAGTGGAAAACAATAAACCTCGTGCTAAAACTAAATTTATTCGCAATCTCAACAAATCGGCTCGGTGGTGTGGCGCAAGCATTAGGGACACGCTCGCACCTCTGATTACCCTGAGTGGGTTCGCAGGTTCGAATCCCGTGTGGGGATAGTTATATGCGAGAGGATTGCTGGACTCCTCGCCACCGTATGGTGGTTCAAGTAACCGCTGGTCGGTTACGGCTTACTCTACCATCATGTCCATGCTTTCGAAAACAAATAACTGGCTAACTAATCCCATACCCGACATGGACTGGTAACCGGGAGAGAGGCCTTGGTTCGCCATATGATTAAGCCGTGTTATCGGCTCTCTCACCTCCGGAATAAACATGTCTATCCTAAATTCCTCGAGCTGTTTTTTAGCTCAAACATCAAAATTTGGTTTTACCTAGGTTGTGGCGGGATCGGAAAGACAGATTAAATTACCCAACGGGCCGTAGTTTGCTCATGTCAGATCATTGTAATTGCTCAAATCTTTTGTAACTCCTCAAAACAAATTTTCCAACGACTTTCAACGTTATGGTTTCTACAAAACATAGTAAATCAGTTATGGGTGACACAATACGATATATATAAAGTTTGTTCATTTTCTTTCTTGCAACGTAACCCGCATTGTGAACATCGACTAGTGTAGTCATTGGTACAACTCGAGGTGGTCTCGAGCAATTTACGTTTGCGCTCGTAACAGAACACCTTCAAGTTATGTTACATATTCTACTATACCTTTTTATACTCTATGACCTCGACAATGAGATAATTTCCTGCAAAGAAAAATACTTATATAAATCGAAAATATCTCCGGATCCCACGGTGGCTGGACATTCCTGATCTAGGTTAGGGCACTGCTTGGGAGTGCACTTGTTGACAAAAAAAAATGAAGGACCACGTTCTCCTGTTGGGACAATGTCAAGTAAATCCGTAGTACAAAGTTATTATTATATCTGTATAATAAACACAGCGAGGTAAATTTTCTTTCGTGTGAGAGAGTTTGCAGTCTGGACGGTAAATTTGGTCATATATAAATGATACTTTGCTAAAGAATTGGCTGCAGCCCTGTAGAACAGGTACAGCCCTGTAGAACAGGTACAGCTTCGGACAAACAATGTACGGAAAGTCCACTCTCATTAACGCATTTTGAGTTGGGTAACCGAATTTAAATAACAGTCTAAAATATGATTGCCTCACAGTTGATGTCCGAACTGCAGAATCTTTCAATATCTGGCTGTCCTGTTTGGACACTGAGGGGACGTATATATCGTTTGATTGCTATTGTTGGACAAGTTTATTGGAAATGAAATGAAATCTGATATTTCGTCTAAAATAATAATAAAAAATTTATCCATGGGAACACTGGCTGTCCGGTTTGATTCTGTAAATTATTTCTACGCGAAACTCGGAATTTTTTGTGGGTACCGGTGGCGTCAAAGATAAATACTGCTTCGCTCTTCGCTACCGGTATTTGTTTTTCGAAATCATGGACTGCTTGCTTGGTGTCAGTATATTTGTAGACTGTGGTATGTCTTGTAGACCAGTACCGGTATGTAGACCAAGTATGTACCGGTATGTAGACCGTAACTACACCAATACGGTTATTCAGTTATTGTATTATAAACAGGAAACATGTAAAATATTTTATTCCTAATACCGTACCGGTAACTGCGTTGTCTCAGTTCTAACACCGGTACCAAACGCTGTTACCCGGTACCGTACCGGTAAGTGCCGAACACTGGAATATATTAAATGTCAGAATGCCTGGTACCGGTAGTGAAATGAATTTCCTTTACCAGATTTGGCTACTTCGGACGAAAACCAAAATTTGTACCGGTATCCGAATACTGGAATATATCAAATGTCAGAATGCCTAGTAGCGGTAGTGAAATGAATTTCATTCACCAGATTTGCCTACTTCGGACAAAAACTAAAATTAGCATACCGGTACCGGTATCGTTGCCTAACAAAATTTTGAACTGAATAAATATTTAAATCATACAGTTATAACTTTGCAAATGCTGATACTGTGTTATGTCAGTATTTGTCAACTAATTTGCGACCACCGTGTTTTCGTCCGTTTATTTGCTGTGATGTGGTGCTTTGTTTATAACTTGACGAGTTTTGTTCGAAATAACCGTGTTCTTAAAATATATGACGGTCAGAAATGCAATTATAAGCCCAATGTTTTCAAAGATAGAGAAGTTCTGGTAGCGCGGTGACACTGAACTAACTCGTAACTGTCAAAAGCTTGAAAATTCATACAAATATAACAGATAAAAAAAATGAACTTTGGCAGGTGGGTAGAGTTGTGTTTCTTTTAACCATGTTTAAAGGTTTTGCGTTTTTACATTTAAAGGAGGGAGAATAGGGGGGGTGCGCATTTCCAATACGTCGATAATATCTTTGTCAACCAATTTGCGACCACCGTGTTTTTGTCTGTTTGATTCCTGTGATGTGGTGCGTTGTTTATACAGGTACTGGTTAGTCACCGAATATGATTTTTTGGAGAATTGCGTGTACGTGCGTGTCCATATATTTGAGCATTGCTCTCTTGTTCTTGTTGGACTCGGAATGGACCTATGGATCGTTTTGGTATTAAGTTGTCGTGTTCTTGTTCTTTGTCATAAAATTTTATCGTTACGAAAACGTCGCTTTCTTTTCGATTACTGGACCAATTGCTTTGAAATTTTCAGTGATTGCAAGATTGTATTTTTTTGCTAAAAGGCTATTACTATTTTTTCTTGAAATATTTTTGTGAGCTCTACGGGATTCGTTTATCATGTGCTATGGCGTCACCAAATGTGTGATTAGCGAACGCATATATTGGCGGATTTCTTGTATCGGTTCAGATAGTTCATTTCTATTTGATCTCTTCCAGTCATGAACACTCGACCTACATTTAAAGAGTGTCCAAATGAAATCAGTCCTGTCACAATTCCGTTTTTCACTTCTACATGTTCTACAAACGTGGGGTGATTTTTCCATTGACGATTATAACAATTGACATTTCCACTCAAATTGATTATACATATACTGTATATATAAACAGACCAGTAAAATTATCCCTGAATTATGTTATAATACGAATCAGCAAAAAAAAAAATTCCAAGCATGCAGTTGATGGTTATATAAGCCTTCCTCAGTAACGTATTTAACTCCTTCAGAAATGACAAGTCTTTTTGGAAAAAGAATAATTTTGAAAAACTGAGCAATTAAAATATAATATATAATTTTGGTGTCATCCATGCACTCGGTTATTACTTATCGATTTTAATCGGTAAGTATGTTGATAGGTATTTGTCTGTTAGATGCACGCGATATCTCACGAAAGCAAGATTGAATCTGCTCCCGATTTTGCATGTGCATTCATCATATGTCGGACCAGAAGCCTATTGATTTTGATTATATCGTATAACTAGCGAGTTTATGGCATATTAGCAATCATTTAGGCCTTTAGGAATAGCACAGCGATCCATTGTGTTTAATACAATTTGAAGTTATAATTAAAGTTATATAGAGAATACACAAGCTATAAAACGGAACTAACCTAAAATTTATTTTGATTTAACCAGATCGATGAATCAAGAAGAGTTCATTTCAACTTGTTGAACTTTGCAATATATACATCTAAAACAGTCGTTTTAGACAAGACGCGTGAAGCGGATTAAAAATAAAATATTATATTGGATCTTGCCCGCCTTATTTATTTTCAAAACTTTTCATTAATTACGTTATTTACGTTTCATTCACGTATTTCCGAAGTATTTTTTGAATAAAACCTATTTTCGTCTCACTAACTGTTATTTATAGCCTATTGTTAGCTAGTTATTTTTGAGGTAGGACTTAAAAAGTTTGACAACCACTGATCTAAAACATTGTAATGTAAATGATGAAATGTTCGTATCATACTACTGCTACTCAATAAAAAAAATCTACAGTTTATTTATCGAACAGTTGTCCAATAATAATCCTTATTCGTCTCAAGTTCTGAGTTCTAGGCGAAGTTTCTGTTTGGCAGGCATACGTACAAATCCAGGCAGTCCCTTGTAGTCTATCTTCGTGTTGTCTGTTTTCGGCTTGATGATAAATTTTTGAACAACTTTTATCATGATCATGAAAACTTGTTGGTTGCCAGCGTCTGGTCCAGCACATTTTCTTGATCCAATTCCAAAAGCCATGAATGCATCATTGTCTTTGAATTCACCGTCCTGTTACAATAACAGATATAAAATGTTATTCATGAAATATGTATTTTTCAAAGAAACCTAAATACCATCGTGATGTGAGGCGTAAAAATGAAATAACAAACAATTTTCATAGCAAAATTTATGAATATTTAAAAAAAGGCTTTGCGAAAATTAGCAAGCCAGTCTCGAGATTATTTGGTTACAAAACCTTGTAATTATTTGTATATGAAATATCGGATTAATAGAAATTGAATGGCTTCAAAATTTATACTTTGGATCACACATGGCTGAACAGAGCTTCTCTAAACGATTATCAGAGACAAATAGAATTTACCTCTCCTAGAAAATTGTCGGGATTGAATTCATCAGGATATTTCCACTTATCTTCCTGTGTGTTACACGAATATAGATTCATTAGGAATGTAGTTCCTTTCGGAATAAAATATCTGAAAATATAATCAACCTATTCAATTTCTGTCCATTAGTGAGAGAGACTTTATGTGCCAGTAAGCAATTATAAATCAGCGTTTTACCTGACGTTACAATTCGTTGAGGTAAATTTATTTTGAGAATGAAATTGAACAACAAATTTTTGGAATTACTTTTGATATCTAGTGCCAGCATTTCATTTCTTATTTGGAGATAATTCAGATCGGTTGCTAGTAAGTAAAAAAAGAAGTGAGGAATAAGACTGTACCAATATTTCCTATTTTCTCAAACGTTGAATTATCAAGACGCCATTCTAGACACTAATACTCAAGTCATACCGCTTAAAATGCGCATGGATTAAAATATGGACCAATGGGACATGAATACTATAGTATTGAACATACCCATTAAAGGTGATGTCATTGCTTGACACACGGGGAATTGCTTGTGGCAGCAAATAACAGAATCTGGAGACTTCGTATAAAGTAGCCTTGGCATATGGCATCTTCATTATATCACGGTATGTCACATTTCCGTTTGATCCGAGAATAAGCTTTATTTCCTCATACAATCTTGCTTGCACATCTTGATGGGCCGCAAGATACACCAAAGCCCATTCAATGGTGGTGGAACACGTCTTGATTGACCCTAGAAATGTATCGAATATCAGAATTTTCATGTTGTGATCATTGTGAACGATGTCCTTCTTTGTGCTTCCTTGTGCAATAAGCTTCAAGTAACAGTCGACCATATCGCGTGGATCATTTTCAGCATCAAAAGTTTTTTTGTGATTTTCTATGCCGTCTTCGATATATATGAAAATACCTTTGCATGTTGCTAAAAACATCTTCGCTGCCTTAGGGAGCCATATTTTAGACAGCCAAGGGAGATATTCAGGGAATAAAATCTTATTATCTCTGAAGAAATACTCAAGTGAAATAAACGCTGCCATAATCTGTTCCATTTTTGCAATTTCTTCGTCCGATCGTTGATTCCTACTTCCGAAAACCAATGATGACATTGTGGTAAACACCGACATTCTTATTTCATCCCGAACATAATGTGCTCCTGCACCCTCGAACATGGCTGTGAATTTTTCAACCAACTTTGTCGTTTCTCTTTGTGCAATTTTTTTAAAGTTATTATCAGGCAGGGCGTTAACATCTGTAAACATAGTGTGAAGAAACTGTCGATCTGCTCTTTCTTGACTAGAATATCTACTGTGGATAACTCCTGGAGGGTCGTCGTTTCCTTTAGCCATATTAACCACATAATTTCCTTTTCGATCCGCAACATTATTGTTCAATGAAATCTCTCTGTTTGCTTTCGTACCGATCAGACAAACATATCTTTTGTTAAAGATTCTTAAGCTGAACACGTTTCCGTACTTCTTCGCCAATTTCATCGTACTCTTCTCTGGATATTCTCCCAGGAGATACAAGCTGCCAAGTATCGGAATTCCAAACGGCCCAGGAGGAAATGAGCGGCCATCTCGGGTAAAGAATTTGTAAATGAAACCTAGCAATAAACCAACTATTGCAGTAGTAATCAAAGACAACATTTTCTGAAACCGTAATACCTAGAAGGTTGATTTATATCTGTGATTTAAAATTGTGAAAAAAAAATTTAGGGAAGTATGTTTTGTTAGTTCTAAATATGTCTTTAAGATTTAATCGTTTTATATAAAAAATACTTAAATTTAATAATAGAATTGAAAAAAAAGTGTTTCAATTTCAAATCTTTAAACCAGGGGTCAGTACCTACAGCCCGCGGGACAAATCCGGCCCGCGACGCTCCACTGAATTATAAAGAAAAAACGGCTATTTTCTCTACGTAACAGAATTAATTGTGAGACACTTGTATACTAAATTATATTATAACATAACAAGTTACTGTTAATAAGCTTACAATTAAATTATAAATCACGCGAAAAAATTCACATCGATGTTTTGAAGTACATATGTGTGCGAACAATTAATTTCTAAAATGAACATCACCAAGAATAAGCTGAAAACTCGGATAAGTGATGCCTATTAAGAAAATGATTTAATCTAGGCTTCATCCAGCATACCGCCTGGTGTGATATCAAGCGTGATGCAGCAAAAAGTGTCACATTAAATGTCATTTGTGATTTTTTAGTAAGTCTTTTTAATTTCAACATCTGATCTGCTTAAACAAATCGTGATTTATCAGCCATCTGTTCGGTTTTCAACTTTTAAAAAATAGGTGCGGCCCGCCAAGACTTGCAACCCTTAATTTTTGCCCGCGAGCGCGGCAGAATGTTGCCGACACCTGCTCCAGACTCTATTCGACTGTGATAATTAGAATTAAAAGTTTACAGCGTTCAAAGACAGGCTGGACTAGAAAATAATATCTAGGATTCAAATTTGCTTGTTATTTACAGGGGTTGAAAGTTATGGTTAGGCACATTGATCATTTTCACATAGTTGCTATCGTTACACTGAGGATAAATACGATACCTCTACAACTTCCCACTCTTTATAAAGACACTATTTTCAACATCAAGCCACCCCACTCTATTTATCCACGCGTATTTAGCGAAAGCGCGCTGTTATATCAAATCCTTTGACACAATATGAGTCACGTCGGGCACAATACATAGAGAATATTATTTTTCCAATGAAAGTATTTGGCTTTATGTCTCCTTTAACCCTGCATTGTTACCATCTTGCACGTTTTCACTTTTCATTCAAATAAAAAGCCGAAGAATTGTCATTGCTGCATTTCTACTGTTTTCTATTCTATTCTTAATAAAATATAAGTTGCTATTATAAAACTAGAGGTCCTATTCCTGCTAGATCCGACATTAGTATTCCGCGTCATTGTTCATATTCTGTACAACTATAAACTTCGATATGGGGAATAAAACATTAGCATTCTCTTTAAACTCATTAGGTCGATCAATCGCTGTATTAATCCAGATACAGCCCCAGTGTCAATTACACAGCGAAAAAAAAATCGTGTGCTTGATTTCACCTCTAAGTGTTCCCGTGACTATACTATAGTAAGTGTCTTCGTAATCGGTTGACTGGGAGCTCTCACCTATTTACTGCTCTCAGTGAACCAGAAAGACCGAAAAAATGTTTATGTCGATAGGTATTTCCAAGAACTACGGTTACCTGGAATTCACTGCCACAAGTTCCGCGTAATATGAGTCACCGTGATCACAATACCTTTCAGTTTACAATATTTACAGTTTTAAAGATAAATGGGTTCTCCGTTTTGTGTTTGTTAGCCCCGATTGTTTCCAACTTGCGCATTTACCATTTTTATTCATCAATAAATTTTTCCAGAATGAATTGAAACGTTGCAATTGGTGAATTTTTGTACCGTTTTTGTGCCTTGAAATAGCCTTTAATATGTTTAATCGTCAACGAATTTTCTGGTTGGGAGCAAACGTTGCGTGGCAATAGTATATCGTCACGCTAATAACCGAATTGCGTAAGTCATTTTTAGCAGTTTTGAGAAAAACGTAAAAAACTTCCTAATGATATTGTTATGCCATTGAGAGTCAATAATTTGCCATAGTTCAATTTTTTGATCGTAGCCGGATTTAATTTAATTTGTAGGACGCGGTTAAGTGACGTCATAATGGCGCACTGTGACTTAGGCAGAAATGTGGATATGACTTGGGGACATACGCAATTTTGCTACTTTACTATATGCACCAGTCCTGAAAACTAAACATTCCAAAAACGAATGTAATTCTCAGTAGCTACAATGTCTAATCCCCAAAATAGCTAATCAGTTTTAATTACCTTATTTTTTATGTTTAAAAATATATATTTCATCAATTTAACACGTTCTGCACATCCACCGAAATAGAACTCAGATTAAATATAAAGGCTAAAACAGCAATTCACCCAATATAAAAGCCAACCAAGGTGAACTGGACTCGGACAGTGAATATCACAAGTGCACGCATTCCTATACTGTAATATAAATTCAAATTAATTCGCGCTAAGCTAGAATCCGAGATGCAAAAACTCGAAAAGGCTTCGCCGAGGTTATTACTTATCGATTTTAATCGGTAAGTATGTTGATAGGTATTTGTCTGTCTGTATGTCTGTTAGATGCACGCGATATCTCACAAAGGCGTGGTTGAATCTGCTCCAAATTTCGAATGTGCATTCATCATATCTTGGACCAGAAGCTTGTTGGATGAATTATGTCGTATAATTAGCGAGTTATTAATTAATTAGTGATGAAGAGATCTGGATTTTTACAAAGCGAGAGATTTTTGAGACGCGCTGAATGTGTGTGTGCGTGTCCGATGCGCAAGTTTTCACGCTAGTGAGTCAGAGCGAAGGTAACTTTGACGTCGTCGCGATTCGCAAGTTTCCTTCGAGAAATTTTCCACGCTATTGAGTCAGAGCGAAGGATACACGCCGCGAGATCGTATCTCGTTACTTATAATTACTCTCTCAAGTTTAAGCAATGTCCATATCCCTCTATCAGGTTCGGGGTTGCAGAATTCCTTACCAAAATATCGCTAGGCTGTGTTTGAATAGCCGTCGCAACCCGGGTTAGCGCCGTTGTATTTGATTCAAAATATAGCATTGGTGTAAATAGGCTATTGGCTGGAAACTAATCGAAACAATCCAGTTCAGATTTGCAGAATTCTTCATAAAAGTATTTCCTCGATTAGTATTTCGACGACGACATGGGTAGTTGGCTATTGTTTCCTACATTGATATTGGCTGAAAACTAATCAAATCAATCCAGTTCGGGTTAGCAGAATTTTTCGAATCGAAACCGCAGTTTCTGTTTTGGGGGATCCCCTAACTTTCGATCGATAAGTCTTCGGTCTCTGACCGATATTCTCGTTTCTTACTTATGGATTTTAATCGGTAAGTATGTTGATAGGTATTTGTCTGTCTGTTTGTTTGTCTGTTAGATGCACGCGATATCTCACGAAAGCGTGATTGAATCTGCTCCAGATTTTGCATGTGCATTCATCTTATCTCGGACAGAAGCCTATTGATTTTGGGCGAATTATGTCGTATAATTAGCGAGTTATTAATTAATTAGTGATGGGACACAAAGTGTCACTATGAAGTAAGAGCGCTGTTTTGGGGGTTCCCATAACTTTCGATCGATAAGTCTTCGGTTTCTGACCGATATTCTCGTTTTGCCTTTGTGGCGTCACAATAGTCCCGCGGTCACAATGATAATTCATTATGACGATACAATTGCACAAATGTGCATGTCATACTAAATCTCCATTTTTATGGGTTTTATCAGGCATATTATGGATGCGTTTCCTCGATTTAAGGAGACATAGAGTGACACAATCATATCAAAAATTCAAAAAGGAAAATATTAGTCCATATTCTGTTACTGATATTAAATAACATTGCTTTCGAGGATGCACACAATGTAATGGCCATGTTTAAATTTGACACCATTGATATAGCTAAATTTTAACATTGAAAAAACAAATCTACAAAAGCAAAAATGTTTCTTATTACTTATCGATTTTAATGTTGATAGGTATTTGTCTGTCTGTCTGTTTGTCTATCTGTCAGATGCACGCGATATCTCACGAAAACGAGATCGAATCTGCTCCAGATTTTGCATGTGCCTTCATCATATGTCGTACCAAAAGCCTATTGATTTTGGATGAAATATGTCGTATAATTAGCGAGTTATTGATTAATTAGTGATGGGACACAAAGTGTCACTATGAAGTAAGAGCGCTGTTTTGGGATCCCCTAACTTTCGATCGATAAGTCTTCGGTCTCTGACAGATATTCTCGTTCTGCCTTTGTGGCGTCACAATAGTCCCGCGGTAACAATGATAATTCATTATGACGAAACAATTGCACAAATGTGCATGTCATACTAAATCTCCCTTTTTATGGGTTTCGGAATTCTAAAAATAAAATCTGAGTTAACAGACACATGCGCAGCATTACGTAAATACCTATTTTATACAAAAATGACTTACACAATTCGGTTATTAGTGTGACGATATTATCTTCCATTTGCGAAATGACATGAGATATAACTACATTTCAACATTTACCAAATATATTTACCAGAACAAAAAGTTTTTTTTATATATAAGATTTGTTCTGTTTTCAATACCCAACGAAAATGCTACATATTCACAGAGTCATTGGGAAACCCTAAAAATGTTATAACGTTACATTGACTACAACTATTCTAGCAGTAGGTGATGAATCTGAACAATGAAATTGCTGATTTGAGACTCATGGTCATCTTTCTGTATTGCTATCACAAACTTGCAAAATCGTCCTCGTCATTATTCATTTTCTGCCTCATAATAAACGCTGACATGGAGAATATCAACTCTCGACTGCTTCCGACTTGATTCGTCTCAGACATGCTCAATTGTCATGCAGTTTCCCAGAGCCAAACTGTTTGTTCAGTTAAAGTTCGGGTTAGGGATAATTTGAAAAAATGAATTTCCAGCGCAATCTTCATTTCTATCGCTCACCCTAATTACTGTTTTTTTTAGCGGTTACGGGGGTGTTTTTTGGCGGAAGCTTGCAACGAAAGATCCTTGATTTATCCTAATGCCACAACTCTGGATATAT